AAAAAATGTGTATCTATTCTCAACATTTATTGTTTTGTTTGGATAACAATTTAAATACCCCCGCCGCAGCAAACCTACCGAATAAGCGAATTTCCATTTGTCTGAATTAATTTTCAGTTAAATATATTTTAATAACATTAGGTTTAACGAGTACCTAGGTTTGCTGGTACAAGGAAACCAATAAAGTGTGTTTTTTGCCAAGTTTGATCAAAATATATCCATAAACAAGCAAACTACAACATTTGACAATATTCTCCATAAGAATAACATGGGAGTTTTAAATTTACAATTTTTTTAATTTTCTTCGTTACTAATAATCGAACAAAAATACTTTTATATACTAAATTATTTGTTTTTTAAGCTCCTTAAAAAGGTCTAAAGAGAAATCGGGAAATTTTGTGTTTTGAGAGTCAAAAGTAAGAAAAAACCAATTTTTACCCCATAAAACCCCCGTAAAGCCCCATTCCCATGGTCCGATCGTGCTGGTTCGCGAACTCATTCAAGTTTATCCCGCTTTACACCTTTAAACCAAATTTCATCAAAATCGGACAAAAATTACTCAAGTTATCGCGTTCACGGACGTATATATATATATATATATATATATATACATATATACAAATTTGAACGAATGGTGTTTTTGGCCTCTGGGGACATCAAAATGAAAAAGTAAACCGGTCCCGGGTCTAGGTCTTACCGTGCCACCTACGGTAATAGCTACTTCCCTATAGGGAAATTCGCTAAAACAAATTGACATTTTGCAATGTGAATAAAATATTATTTATTTAAAAATATGTTTCAAAGAAATAAACAACTTAAAATATCTGAAGAATTTAACACACTAAACTATTAACAGTAGTTAGAAGTAACAGGCAATTTTAACTGGATGGCTTATTGGTACTGTATAACACAAAAGTAAGACTACGTAGCAAGATTTCTATCAAAGAGAATAATACAACATGTTAAGGCTTAGAGCACCTTGTTAACAATTTAAAGAAGCTTAAGAATAAATTTACTAGCAAATGATGCACAAGGGTCGTTGTTATGTCAAAGGTTTTACCGACGTAAATTTATAAATAATGTTAGGAAAATTCAAAATTTTACGTAATCTAATACTCAACAATACTTCTCTTTTCAATGAAAATTCAGTGTACAAAAAGAGTCCACGACGGACTGATTTGATAAAACCCTCCGAACGTTGAAAACACCGAGGCGTATACGGTCCTCTTTTATCAGACCTAATTGGGTTTAGTTTCTAGAAAAGGTAACTCAGTGAAAGGACGTCTTTTTTTAATGAACAGAATCTAAGTTATAAACATTTCAATGTAATTTAAATTTGTAACTCTATTTAGTCAAGTTATAGGAAACTTAAGTTAATATTGTGATACAACCGTTAAACTATCTTTCAAATATTATACTATCCATTAAATAAATGCGCCATTCATTAATACCTTCAAACCTTTTATTAATACCTCACAGTGTACATATTCTGGACCAATCTCAACTATTGAGTAGAGGAATGGAAAGAATCAATGCTTACTTAAGTCTTTACGGGAATTAAATGTTTATCATGAACAAAGTATTAACAGCGAATATAACTGTATGTTCACGCTCTTTACTCTGCAACCAAGTGCAACTGTTCTTTTGAGTAGGAGACGGTTAATTTACTCGAAATACTGAAATACCTGCATAAAACTATTGACCGACATTTACAATAAAATAATAGAACTTAAATAAAAAGTAAATTTTTCATCAGAATTCACTCATGTCACCTAAATAGAGACATACCGTGGTGACAACCGTTACCTACAAATATCAGTCATAAAAATACAGTTAAATTCAATTTAGCATTTACGAAAAAAACTCTGTGTAGCCTCTATAGGTTCAGGTACGTAGTACATATATAGCAAGATTTTGAAGGAGAGATATATTTTAGGACGATATATTCAAACTACACATAACGTGAGGGTTGAACTCACAATATATCAAGATGGAACCCTAAAGCCATCCAAACCTCGGTGTTAGGTCTCTGTCACATATCAGCTGTAAATTACATCCAGGTCGTCCGTGACCGCTGTACCTCGATCTATGATGTTCGACGACGTGCTTTACCAGTGAAAGGACGAAACCGGACTGAATTGTGGTAATTAAAATTCGACATTCACTTTTACTTTTACAAAATCATAAAAATTCAATTCTTTTTTATTAGTCGAATTTCATTTGGTACTCCGAGTAAATTTAAGTACTTATATATTGGTTTACTAGGAATGATCTTTCATACTGTATTTTTTATTTAAATACTGAACTTTCTTAGCGAAAAAAATCATGAATATTACATTTAAAACGTTCTCATACTGACCACGAAACAAAGCATTTGTATATTGAGGCTTTAATGAGCAGTTCTTCCAAGAACGTTACATAATCATATTGTTTACTTCTCTGATTTTCCTTAACCATTACTTGTTCTTCCTTCAGTGGTAAAATAATATTAGTTTTAACGAATTTCCCTAATGGGAAGTATCTATTACCGTAGGTCAAGATCTAGGCTGTATGTTTGTAGTCCTGGGCTCGGGACTTTTTCATTTTTATGTCCCCAGAGGCCAAAAACACCATTCGTTCAAATATTTATACTTTAATACTTTTCAATGTCCGTCCAGACGATAACTTGAGTAATTTTTGTCCGATTTTTATAAAACTTGGTTTGAAGGTGCATGCAGGATAAACTTAAATGGGTTTGCGAACCAGCATGATCGGACCATGTGAACGGGGTTACGGGTTTTTGTAGGGTAAAAATGGGTTTTTCAAATCTTTTACCCTTAAAACAGTAAATTTATCAATTTTTTTCCAGACCTTTTTAAAAAGCTGAAGAAAACAAATAATTTAGTATATCAAAGTGTTTTTCTACGGTGTTTGGTTAAAGAGAAAATTCAAAAAAAAATTTAATTTAAAATTCCTATGTTATTAATATGGAGAATATTGTAAAATGTGGTAGTTGGGTTGTTTATTGATATATTTTGACCACATTTGGCAGATTTATTTATTTCATACTATGCTATTGATATGTAAAAAACACACTTTATTAGTTTCCCTGTAGCAGCTAACCTAGGTAATCGTTAAAAATAAATGTTAATTTAATAGATTAATTGAAAATCAGTCCAGACAAATGGAAATTTTCTTAGTGAACAAGTTTGCTGCAGCGGGGCTATTTGATATAATAATAATTTATCAAACACATACTTGTGGGGGAAATGACCAAAATATCTTTATAAATCTTTATTGATTTAAGGGGGAAATGTTCTAAAGACTAGCTTTGTAAGCGTAAAGGGTTGCCAACACCATTTTCTAATTACATATTACGAAGTTTATTTTCTTGCTTTGAAAATTCTGGAATAGTCTCAAATACTGAGTAGAGGAATGGAAAGTAATTAGTATTTTATGGAAATAATTATTTGGGCAATAGAAAAAAGGGAGGGGGGATTATATATTTTAACATTTACCATTTTCATCATCGATGATCCTGCAACATACAATACAAAGTAGTTTATAAATGCCAGAAAATATTTCTGTATTTAAAACGTGTATTACAAAACATGATCTAAAAACAATTGCAACTCAAAATTACCGGAAACATTGACGACACACAATCTGAACTAATAGTTAAACCTAACTATTGTAGTATATATGCAAATAGGTACTGAATAATGCAAACACTTATGTAAGTACAACTAACATTCTTTTTGTTGCCTAACGAGCTTATTATCCTCACAAAGAGTAAACAAATATATAAATAACTAAATTATTGTAGTAAATAAGTACAACTGAGCACCCTAAATATTATATTTTTATATTTATTTTTTTTTATTTTAAAAATATAATGTTTAGGGTGCTCAGTTGTACTTATTTACTACAATAATTTAATATATCAGTAGCCCTATTACGTGAACACCTAAATAAAAACATAAATAACTAAATAAAAAACTTACGTAACCAAGTTGCAATTAACTTTATTGTTTGATAGTTATTAATAATTATGACAATTTGCTCTTAATGGCATTTTTCAATGATGCTCATACAAAAGAAACTGTTTCAATTATGATCCAAATACAAACACACTGTTTTGAAGAGCCTCTATAAACATTGTTATACTTAAACTTTTGTGAATGTAGCTGTAGACTGTGAGACACTCTACAAGCTTACATGGTGGTATCCCTGTGTTTCTTTACTTTATTGCTGACCAGCTGACATTCATTGTTGCATAGTTTTATTTGAGGTTTAGTGTTATTAGGAATTGATTGCATGTAAGAATTATCATGGTGTTTTCACAAGCTCAAATAGAGTATGTATTGTAGTTATACGTTTTTCTGCTTACTTATGATCTGGCTTACTTAAATGTGTACATGTCAATGCTAGTTAATTTATTAGGCTCTGGAATCACTCCTGGAAACCTAATTTCAAACCTCTTTTGGCACGAAAACAACTATTTTCTTTTTTGTAATTCTTTTAACTTTTTGAGATTGGAAAACACCATATTGAGTCCTTTTTACATTAAATTCCCTACCTGCTACTGTACCTCATAGATATCTACGCAACAATGAATATTAAGTGATCGGCATTGAAGTAAAAAAAAAAAAAAAAAACATTGATACCAACATATAAGCTTGGTTTTTGTTAAACAGTATGTCACAGTACTTGTAATTTGGGTTGCTTAAAACCCCCTGTATATTTTTAGCCAAAAGTACATAAACCTACATAGATATTGAAATGAAAAAATAAAATTTTCGATTAGGGCTTTTGTGAAATCTTGTGTTGTTAGATCGTTGAAACATCATAACCTCTTGTTATCGTCAATATATTCCCAAGCACTTATGAGAACTGTGGTTCACAGGTGACGTCATGACCGCCGGTTCAGGGCCACTTGGCTTGTTATTACCTTAGTTTTCCTGGTTGCGCCAAGGTGCCAGCTGACTTGGTCTCCAGATGACCGGTCAGTGTGCGAAGAAGAGAGGGGAAGTGAGAGAGAGAGTCGCAGTCGCCGCGCAGCCGCTACCGCACGTCATGCGTATAAAGGTTCATCTCAGTGCTATTTTAGTGATAGGTATAGAGTTTGCATTATATCCGTGGAATATACACTATCGTTTTAGTGCAACCCAAAATGTAATACATTGAGTGGTAGTGTTAGTAACGTTGAGAGTTTGGGGCAGAGTTTATTGGACGGGGAGAGAGTTCACATAGGTCAATCGAATACAGGTTTATATCACGTTTTGATTAACTTTGCGACTTTAACTACCCCTTATTTAAATGACAAAATTGTAATCGTCACCAAGGAAAACTGATTTATTTGGTTGCGGTAATAAACATTTGGTTTTTGATCAATATTATACACGACTTAAATTAAATTTATTTAATGATTACAGAATACACTTTTCTCTGCGGTTTAGTTAAACAAATCAGGCTAAACCTTCGATGCAATTGTTAAATGTTTGAGCTTCATTACTATTGTTATTGAAACAGTTTTACTGTGCATACCAACACCTCTTAACGTTGAAATTTTTATATTATTTCATTATTGTTGCAAAAGTGGTTTCGTAACTAAGAATTCCCAATTATGGTACATATATTCAATGATACCTTATTAAATGGGCTTAAATTAGTAAAATATTATTGTTATAAATAATATAGGTTGTGGTTTTGAAAGTATCAGCTGACCTATCCGGTCTTGGTAACAGCTAGTTAGAATAATAGGTGAGCATATAAATTACTATATTTCCATCTAAAGCACGGTAAATCTTCTAGCCTCTGCTTTCTACTTTGGAGTGTGTGACTCAAACATAAGTAATGAGTTTCCCAAGCTCTACAGGTCAAGAAGACAGAGCTACTTTTGCAGGAGACAGTAAGTAGCGTGTAGTATTATGGCTTAATTTATCTAATGTAAACTTGGTGTGTTTTATATACTTATCCCTGTATACTTGTCAAAACCAACACTGTGTGATTTGGCCGGTTGTAAATTACATTAGTATCGAAAATAATACCCTTCTACCAGATAGTTAACGTCTTATAGTAATGCAGACAAAACTTTACACTTAAGTATCTGACACTAATTGTGAAAAAAGGTTTATAAATGAATTTGGGAATAGCAAATTAATCAAGTAAATGTATATGCTAATCAATTTGCTCCAAAAACGACCACCTATTTTTTGGAACACACTATTTTCAAAAATAAATATACCGGTATTTTACTATAATTTAGTCCAGGAAGTATATAGATTTTGACTAGGGAAAAATTAAAGTCCCGATTTTTTTTCCATGGATGGCTTTACTTTAGTCTAATAAACAAAAATGAAGAGTTCCTCAATTATTGTGTGTGCAGGAATTTCACAATCTTCGTAAAATGTTCTAACGGCATATAGCAAATTTCTCCTACAGGAAATAAGCTATTACTCACTTAAAAATGGTATAATTCTGATGAAATTTAGTACAAACCGTTAATGTAGCATATCAGACTTAAAGTTTGAAAACGAGCCAGATCGCTTAATACGAAGGGGTGTTTTGGGGGGATTTTGTACCCCAAAAATGGGCGTTTCGGGTAATTTAACATTAAAGTTTGACATTAATTAACATTGAGATTATTAATTAACATTTAAAGTTTGAAAGATTCAAATTTTTGTTTTTACTATTGGATACAGCTTTAAAAAAGACACAAATTGGTATTTTGATCATTTCTTTACGCCAATTGGTTACCGAGATATTGAAAGTGCTAAAGACAGTACATTGTCTAATGTTATTCTTATGGTGGAATAGAAAAGTTGTACACCTCGCTTATTTGTGAACATATACTGATGGAACTTCTTCTCGTTGTGGTCTATTGATATTTTCTCTAAAAACATTTTTTCTCCAAATGGTCCTGTGGCAGCAAACCTGCGTACTCAGCCCATATGTTATTCTTATGGAGAATAATTAAAGGCTACGTCTCCCTTTGTGAATATAAATTAATACGACCTTTTATATTGTTTCACTTAGTTGAGTTCTATTAATATTTGCATTAAAACTCATATTTTGTATTCCTTGTTGCGGCAAATCTTTGTACTCAGTTCCCATGTTTTGCTTATTGAGAATAATTCATATGCTATACAGTACACATTATGTATATTATATGTAGGGTGAAGTGGGGTAAGTGTAACCACGTTTTGGCATAGTTCAGCTTTGACCTCAAATTGCCATCTTGTTATACATGATATAGTTCTGAAAATTTTTAGGCATAAACTTTGACTAATGGGCTTTAAAACAATATGTATTTTTATTAAAAAATGAAATCTTTTTTGGTAAAAAAAATGACTAAAAAGTTTGCGTTTTGTGGTTACACTTGCCCCAGGGTTCGGGGCAAGTGTAACCCCTGCCTGTTAAAAATATATAAAGCATTGAAAAAGAGACATGGGGCAAGTGGACGGATTCCAAATCTGTTGCTGATTCCAAGACTTTTTGACTTATTAAAATATCTTAATTTTTACTCAAGCTACGAACTTTTTCGTGAACCTCTTCTCGCGTTTTGTGAAAAACGCAAAACATGCAAAACGGAAAGATTACTGTTAAAACATAAAAAAACACAACATTAAATGGTACTTAAATGGTTTTTAATGTTGTTTAACATGTGTAGAATCAATCTCACAGTAATATTGTTTTTTTTTTAATTTACATTTGGGCAAGAAAGTCCTAAACTATAAAACGGGTATTAATTTTATATTTACAACAAACTTTTTTTTTCTTTACTGGATATTATATGAGTTACACCCTGGTTACACGTGCCCCGAATCCAAAAAGCCACTTGCCCCGACTGCAAAATTTCAGGGGTAAGTGTAACCTCGCTTGTAAAATCTAAACAATAGGAAATAGCACAGATCTAAAATTATATTCAGATGCTACATGCAAAAATGAGTTTGTAAACCAAAAACTGTCAACTTTACATTAAAAATGTGAGTATGAAAAATTGTCAAAGTTAGAGGTCGGCACTTGCCGATGGATTGGAAATGTAAGCATTTTTTAAACATTCTAAAACTATTACTTCCACATATTTTATATGCATTCTTAAGGCTAAATATAACAAAGGAAGGTCCAAATAACAACATATGATAGTATAGTATTTAGGTCCAAAATTATCTTATCATTTGAGTGATAAGCCGTGGTTACACTAGCCCCCCGGTTACTCTTACCCCACTTCACCCCATATATATTTCTTCTTTGTGAATGCGTTTTAGAGAAACTTGGTAGGTTGCTTTATGTGCTAATATAAAGGGTGTTTCACGGGAACCCTGACAGGAAATGGTTGAAATCAAAACTTATTTTTATCAGTCACAACCAACATGATTGCACAAAATAGTAATGAGATCTCTTTGAAATGCAATATTCTATCTATCAATGCAAGTTTTATCTAAATATCTCGTCAATTTTTTAATCTAGAGGGTAAAGTGTTCTACAGATAGACTAAAAATCTTAAAAACCAATTTTTAGGTATAACTAGAAAACGAGTGAGCTTAGGACAAATGCTTATAGGACGTATTTTTTTCAGTTTTGACCCCAGGAATCATTTCCTGAAGTTTGTCAGGGGTCCGGTGAAACAATCTTTATAATGAAATGAACTACGAGAGGCCTCCTGCGAAAAAAGCTAAAATTAGGAATTAAGTAAAAAACTAGCCTACATTGTACACTTATTCTGTGTGTGCTATGTTAGGTTTACATACTGTATTAGAAGTATTCATGCAATAATTTATGATTAACTGTTTTATGACTTTTTTTATTGAATTAATCTACTAGTAAGAAAGAATAAAAATTTCTTATCCAGATTTTAAAAATCATTTTATAATTATTTTAATTTAACCAGCAGAATGGCAAATCCGCACACACCATCAATGGGGAACTTTCTGTATTTGCTTTTTATACCTAATAGAAGGTAATAATGGAATAAAAAATCTGGCTTTAATTGTTTCCTAATTTGATGATATTTTTAGCTTTATTTCCTGGACTAAATGTTTAAATGTTACGGTGTTAAATTAATAAAATTATGACACAACCCTTTCCAAATTTAGTTACGCCGTTTTTTTTACATGTTACAAAGATAAACTTAAAGAACTTAGAGTAAAGGAATAACATCGCCAGGCACAGTTAGATTTGTTTCCCTATTTAAAACGAACAGCTGTTACTAGAGTGTCTATATTTGTATATTATTACTAGCTGTAACCCGCGGGCTTTGCCCCGTTTAACTTCTTAATTTTCAAGACGATCTCGTTCGCGTGGCTCAATCACGTCCTGGTTGAAGTTCGTTCGCTACGCTCACTCACCTTTAGGTTGGAGCTCGTTCGCTGCGCTCACTTGCCTTCAGGTTAGCTCGTTCGCTACGCTAACTCACCTCCAGGTTGAAGTTCGTTCGCTACGCTCACTCACCTTTAGGTTAGAGCTCGTTCGCTGCGCTCACTTGCCTTCAGGTTAGCTCGTTCGCTATGCTCACTTGCCTTCAGGTTAGCTCGTTCACTACGCTAACTCGCCTCCAGGTTGAAGTTCGTTCCCTATGCTCACTCACCTTTTGGTTGCAAATTATACTCTGTCTGAATTTAATGTGCGGTTGAAGGACAAATTTGTTTTCCCCTGTTTTCTCCCTGGCCCCTGCCACCCCCACATATTAGTCTACAGCTGGTTCATACTGTTTATAATTTTACAACAGTTGTCACTTTGTTTACATTTTAGTAGTAAACAACATTGTGATTATTCTGATGGTATTTTTTGCAGTTTAATATTATTCAGTCTGAGTTTAATTGATTAGTGTTAATTAGAAATGGCCAAAAGGTGCCAAGACATTACAATTTAAACTAAAAACACAATTTTTAGAGTGTACAATTATTTAAAAAAGCATTTACTATAAATCTGCAGGATGACACTGACTCTGATGGCTTAAGCGAAGATGATGGTGAATATCTACTTTCCAGTTATGAGAGTGAATGATGTAATGGAACGTCTCCAGTACTTTTTTAACGTCCACATTACAACTAAAATTTGTTAAATTTACACCATTGTGTTCATTTTGTGGTTTAATGTATGTTTTAAAAATCAAATTAAATTTATATGTTTTTACGAGATTTGTTTTCTATTTGGTGTGTACTAAGGCATATTGGCCTTTTATTATTAAGGATTTGAAATATTTATACAATTAGTAAACGATGAAAAATGTTAAAACTTTAATATAGCTGTTACATACAAATGGTTTAATTTGTTTGTATCTCCAAACATAATTCGTTCATTCAAATAGTATATTCAATTTGTTATGTTAGTTTATCCTCAGTAAAAGAAAATTGAATGCTCCTACTTGTCATTTACCTAGCGAGTTTAATGTTGTACACTGATTATTCAGGCATAAACAGGATAACCCAATGGTTTTCATCCTGGTCTGACCTTAGGGCTCCGCTAGAGACATTGACAAAGTTCCTATTACCGACGGTATTCAAATAATAACTAAATAAAGAAGTGAAGAATCGCTTTCGAATTTTGAAACCAGTTCACCACGATATTAACTAATTTAATAATGTATAGTTACATTAACAGAACTGAAATTGTATTTAAAACAATCCATCAAAAGCAAATGTTAGTCCAGGATTATGTATATTACATTATAACAAAACTTTTAGTGAAATTAAAATTGATACGTGTATTATTTATTGTTAAAATAAATCTTATTGTTTTATTATGTGTGTAGTTCAATCATAATAAACAAATGCTTCCTAAAAAACCTGTCTGCAATATAAAACAGATGATTGTTTCGGGGGATTTCAGTGTAGAAAAGGGTAAATGAGTGGGAGATTTACCATGATAGGGAAATCATATGTTGAATTCCAACCGCACAATTATTTT